AGAAGACCCAGATGTCAGATTAAACAAAGAGTTCACCTAAATCTAGTATTAAGACTTCCTAGCTCTGAAGGTGGGGAGGAATAAGGTCATGATTCAAATGATAAAAGGGATCAATCCCTTGTCCCACACCCACCCCCCCCCCAAAAAAAAAGGAAGGAAGGGAATCAGTATCCAACTTTGCTATAATATGTTATGTAAAACATCCCATTTCAACATCAGCATTCAAAGAATGAGGAAAATGTGACTCATATATCAGAAAACAGGTAGGAAAGAGAGGCTACTCTGTGAGAAGACCCAGATGTCAGATTAAACAAAGAGTTCAAAGCAATCATTATAAATATGTTTAAGAAACCATGCTGAAAGATATGAAGACAATGGCTCATTAAATAGAGATTATTGGAATGAAAATCAAAATTACAATAAAGAACTAAAGGAAAAGTACAATACTAAAATGGAGCCCCCCTTTTTTTAGCAGAACTCAACAATATATTTGAGCTGGACAAAGAATTAGTGAACTTGAGGTTATATAAATATAGAATATGTACTCTGAACAGAGAGAAAATAGAATTAAAAAGTTGCACAGAGCCTCAAAAAATGTGGTAAATTTTTTAAAAAATGTATATAATAGGAGGATCAGAACAAGAGGAGAAAAATAATGGAGCAGAATAAATCTTAAAAAAAATTATAACTGAAAAGTCACCAAATTAGTTGAAAACATTAACTAGACATCAGAAAATCAATGAACTCCAAGTAAATTATATGCAAAAACATTCACATACACACATTGTAGTAAAAATGTTAAGAGCTAAAGACAATGATACAATTTTGAAAAAAAAAGATGATGACATGAAAGACCATTTATTATTAGTTTCTAGTAAATATTTGAGTCAGGAAGATTAACAGCAAAGTTCTTACCAGAAAAATGGAAGCCAGAAGGTAGGGAAAAACTAAAGTGCTGAGAAAGAAAACAAAAACTACTAATGAAGAATCATAAGCCCAGTAAAACAATCTTTCAAAAGTGAAGTTGAAATAAAAAATTCCAAGATTAACAAAACATGATTTCCTTTGTTTCTAAAATGTTTACTTTTCAAGAAATACTAAAGGAATTTTGTTAGATTAAAAACAAGTAAACCCAGGTGAAAATTCAAATCTACACAATTCATTTACAAAATTAACTCAAAATGTATCAAAGACTTAAAATATAAGACTCCAAAACTGTGAAACTACTAAAGGAAAATGGAAAAATTTCCTGGCATT